TTATCATGGAAAATCAGAGCTCCTTCTGCCCCCTCTCTCACCATGAGGGCCTTGATCTGGCCCCCCCCCCATGACCCTTTCCCCTCCCCCACAGACTTGCCTGATGAGGGGCACATGCTTAGCCTCTCCTAAATAATTTTAATATTAAAGGGGTACATTAGCTGAAACTGAGACAGAAGGGGTACACTTGTTAAAAAAAAAAAAAGGTTGAAAACCCCTGCTGTAAAGGAAACATCCAGATTCTTCAAGGTTCTCTAATCTAACTTCTGGGGTACTCTTAGAACGCATTATCTGTTTAGTCTCATGTCAATATTTTTTAAATTTTAATATTTACCATTACGTTTTATTTGAAGTCAGTAGTATAAGTTATCAATACCTAATAAGTTTTTAATTATTTTTGCTATTTTCAGGTCATTGAGCTTGACTTCGATCAGTTACCGGAGGGGGATGAAGTTATAAGTATCCTGAAACAAGAACATACCCAGCTGCACATATGGATTGCCTTAGCGGTTAGTTTAAAAACAATTTCTACTGTGTTACATTTGTTAGTAGGAGAGATTAAATCTTGAAGTGGGACTTAAATTTCATCTTAAAGGACATTGAACTCTGGGCTTAATACTCCTAATTTGTTATATCACAGTTAGTGATATAGCAAAGACTCTAGAACTCAGTTTCTCCATGAGGTGATGCTGTTTAGCATCATTTTTTACTGTCGTGTTAAAAATCTGTGCATTTTACCAGGTTGATTTTTAATTCTTTGGTACAAAGCTTAGAAACCAGTGGTAGAGTACTAGGCATTATTCTAAGAAAAAAATGGTGAACTGTGGGATGGGGGAAGCAAATTACAAATTAATGAAATAAAATACTCTGAGAAGGGAGAGAGAAAATTGTTACTTTGTGAATATAAAATAAACAGCTCCTTATTTATGAACACAAGTGAGGGAGGATTTCATTCACATAGGATAGTAGATAGATTTTTTGTTACATGAATATGAGCAAATTATACAGGTTTAGGGGTGATCTAAGTCATTTCCATGGCATTGATGAGATAAGTGAGTGTATGAGTGGAGGAAAGAAATTGCCATAAAGTTTGCTGGTGTGCAAAGCAGTACCAACATAGAATTTTAAAATTAACTGGTCCTAACAGTTGCTTTGTAAAGAGCAGTTATCTTCTGAAATTTAGTGAAAACATGTTTTCCAAAGGTGTATGGATTCTACCTATTTAAGATGATATATCCTGTCTGGCAACCCAGTTCATAAATATAGCTTGTTCTATGTTTATGTAGTCAAGCATGTCCCTGTATCATTTTTCATTAAAAAAAGTTATTGCTGCTCATGTTGTTTTTCTTTTTTTTAATAAACAAATTTGCTTATGCTACCCAGTATTTTATATGGTTTAAATTTTGAATGTTTCAAATCTTGTTTGATGTTTATGCTTTTGATATCGTCTGACAACTTTGTCTAAACAGATGTTACATTTTGGTTAGAACTGAACTGTCCTGAAATATCCTCAGTTGGATGTTTGATTACTATTCCTTTCCTAATGTACAGCCTGTTCCATTAATGAATTATGTTCAAATAATTACAGAACAACTGGTAGGTTTCCAGTTGGGCTGCCACTGAATTTTTATCTGTGCAATATTGGATAGATATTGTGTATACCTTTTTTAGTACAAAGTAGCTATGAGATACTTAATGTATTGTATTGGTATGTAAGTGAATATCTGCAGTTAAACTGGAGAAATGTGATAGAATGACTATACATTTTGATGGAATGACTCTGTAAATTTTTGTGTTTATAGCTGGAATACTACAAACAAGGCAAAACAGAAGACTTTGTGAAACTATTGGAAGCTGCACGTATAGATGGTAATTTGGATTATAGAGACCATGAAAAAGATCAGATGACATGCTTGGATACCCTAGCAGCATATTATGTACAGCAAGCTCGGAAAGAAAAGAATAAAGATAATAAGAAGGAGCTCATTACACAAGCGACCTTGCTATATACAATGGCTGACAAAATAATCATGTATGATCAGGTAAAGTTTGTTTATATGAAGAATCATATCTGCTAATTGTTTTATGAAACTTGCTTTGTAACTTGCTATAAGTGTCATAAGTACAGGTAATTTTTTTTTCTTTTTTAAGAAAGCAAATTTATAATTATTGCATCACTGAAGGGAGGACAGTTGCTCATGAGCAGACTTTACAATTCCATTTATGTGAATTGCACTGCTAACTTTGTAAGCATTCAAGTAAAATTGACACTTTTGTGTATCACTATCAAAATGAGTGCTCTTGGTTTGGGATTAATAACGTAATCAGGCCAGGTTACTCCTTCTGTTTTTGTTACGCTTTTTAGTACATGTTTAGACTTGGCTACATGTAATTTGTAGGAATGATTTGTGGAAACCTGTAGTTCTTAATTGTTGGAATTCCAGGGAAAAAATAATCATAAAAATAAGGTTTTCAATGGAAAGTAAGAAAATTATTAAATAGTACTAAAAGTGGTTGGTATAAAATGTAGTAAAAAAATCTTTGACATCTATTTCTCATTCATCTAGAACCACCTGTTGGGAAGAGCTTGCTTTTGTCTGCTAGAGGGTGATAAAATGGACCAAGCTGATGCACAGTTTCACTTTGTGCTCAACCAATCTCCAAATAATATTCCAGCTCTTCTTGGTAAGAATTTTATGAATATCTGTGTAAAAACATTAGATATGTTCTCCAGTCATGTTCAGGCTCTATATCTGTTTTTGTAAGTACAGAAGTGAACTTTTGGTAATGAAGGCCCATCCCATCTCTGCTTAGCAAAAGTGTACAAAATATTCTGGAAGATCAATTCAGGAAGTGCTTACAGGTAGGAAAAGCCACCGTAAGGCTTTCTGGTGAAGCAGTTCTCTATTAAATACTCCTGTGCCTTTGTCTGCTATGCCAGTCATTGTTCTTATTTACACAGATCCACTGATGTCAAAGGGTAGAATACCCTCAGTGGTGAAGGGTCAACAAATGTTAATACCTTTTGTCAGTTGCTGTTCTAGAGAGAGGCTTTAGGGTTTCTAATTCCACCATATAGTAAATCTCTTTCCTTTGAACCAGAAAAGAGAGGATAAAATTCAAGTAAAAATAAAACTAGCAAAAAGTAAACTTGTCCTGTGTTTTAATTTTATTTTTTGAAGTTATTGAAACTCAGAGGTTTGTCATTGCAGGGATTTTCCTGACTATACATATGACTTCACTTAATTCCATTAATTACAGCAGCAGCTACTGAAAAGGGCAGCGTGGCAAAACTTCAGCAGATCATGTTTATTATCTTCTGAAACTGTTTTTGTAACAGGTAAAGCATGCATTTCATTCAACAAGAAAGATTATAGAGGAGCCCTTGCCTACTATAAGAAAGCACTGCGAACGAATCCTGGTTGCCCAGGTAAGAGGTAGAATATCTTTTCCATTGAAGGTATAAGGAGCCTTATTTAAGTTGTTCCAGCCTTAAATAAGGCTGTATGATTATTTCAGGTACTAGAAAATGTAGCTTTATAGATGCACCCTTTTACAGTTGTGAACTGCAAAAATGGAACTCTTATAGAATAGATCAGCTTTCTGCTTTATGAATTTTTGATTGATGATTTTTTTTTAAAGAGCTGATACAAAAATAAAAACAGGTTGTCCAAAGAAGCTGACAAACTAGGACCAACTTTTTGAATGGGAAGTTTGGGAGGTACTTAGGTCTTCCAAAACTGAATATAAGAAGAGGCTTTTGCTTCAGAGTTATCAAAGATCTCAAAGCCCACAAATACTAGTGTCCATTGGATCGTAGATTTTTTTTTTTTTTTTTAATTACTAAAATTCTGGATAAAACAGGAAAAAAACAGTAGCAGTTCATGTAGTTAGAAGTTTAAACAGGTACTTGAAAGTGTTACATTCTCTTAGCATAGGAGCAAGTGTTCTTAAACATTTTGCATGATGCAATATGTGCATGCAGATTGCTCTGCCACTGTCTCCTCTAACAGGTCCCTTTTGGATTTTGTGTTTCTGCAGCCACATATTAGCCTAAGAATTTCTTCCTTTTTTACAAACTTTTGCTTAGTTTGTATTTAGCACTTTATTTAATTCATTCTGATTTATTTGTAAATATAAGTTACCTCTTTATTCATAGTGTACAGGGAGCTTGTAAGGATAGTACTGCGGTATGCCCTCTTCCAAATTAATTTTGATTTTCATAGACAATTAAGTTAGTTAATTTGACTTAGGCCTCATTTATTAATCCTTTCACTGATAATTGTTTCCAAAGAAACAGCTAATTAGCTTATCCCACAGTTCTAAACCATCTATATTTTCTAAAGTGCCAAAAGTACCAGCTGCTATCTATATAGCTGGTCAGACTTCCAACTTTTCCTCCTGACAATTTTATAATGCATTTCTTTCTAAAAATAACTGTAAACTAAAATGAAATAAATTTAGAAATAATTATAAATACACAGCACACTATACTGATACCATTTTTCACATTTTATTCCATTAACTAAAAAAGTTGTTATCTGAAACAATTAAAGGCATAAATGCAGGAGAAATTGAGGCCATACTACACTATTGAGGTCACTAATGCATAAGGCTGTCTCTGAATAGAATCTGAATCAGTGTTCCCCCATATAACTTTAAAAAGTAAGGATCTCACTTCGCCATCAGTTCAGAGTAACAAGTATGTATGTAAAGAGTTTGAGATTTTGATATTTTGAGTGACTTGCTCTTCTTTTCTAGCTGAGGTTCGGTTAGGTATGGGCCACTGCTTTGTGAAATTGAATAAGCTGGAAAAAGCTCGTCTGGCATTCAGCAGGGCTCTAGAGCTCAACTCAAAATGTGTAGGGGCTTTGGTTGGGCTGGCTGTTTTGGAACTCAATAACAAAGAGGTAAGTGTGACCTGGGGGGAGGCTTGAAAATGTATATTTGTATTCTTACTCAGACTTGCAATTGCATTTCATAGTGATGTTGACTGAAGTAATTCAGTGATCATACAAACAGCACAAATTAAATTATTAAATACTCAGGGGAGATTCATATGTTTTAGTCAACTTCCAGATGTAATATGTCCGTTAAATACTATAGGAAAAAGTATAGTGGTTTGTTAAATATTTTCTTCTGGCTTACAACAGCAGGCAGCTGCATACATGTGCTCAATACATTGCCAGCTGTCTAAAATTAACAAACTAAGGACAGATTTTAGTCCATTTGCCTTGTTTCACAGGGATTGACTCTGAATACACTGGAACATGTCAGTCATTGCTAGAGCCATGCTGAACTCTGTGAAAGTGATATATCAAACAGTCCCTGTAGAATGTTCTGAAAGTCTGCAAATTCCAGGGTACCTCCACCTTGTGGTGATAACATGTCCACAAAGCAGGCATCCCACCAACAGCCCTCTTCACTATTTGTATAAAGAAGGAATCTAGTACTGGCTTTTCAGTAGTTGGTACACAGTGTCATGTTGAGAGAGTTCCTTAGGTGAATATATCTAGGATATAACATCGGTAGCTTCTGGGAATCTGAATAGCTTTTTATAACAAATAAAAGATCTACTTGTAAAATCTTATTAACTGCTAAATTAAGTCTGGATGCCAGTTGTGGATATGAACACCAGGGCATCTGTCAGCTTAAAATTTTCCCTTCTGTGCCATCTTCAGAGTTATGGTGTGAATTGGATTATAGAAATTTGGTCTGATGAAGCTTCTTTTATCATATATTATTTAGTCAATATAGAAAAAGGTGAACTGGTTCATCGTTCTTTATGTCAAAACTAACATGGTAATATCTCTCTGAAGGTGAACTAGTGCAGACTCTGCAGTATACATGTTGGTTGATTCTTGTCAGTCAAGTTTAGGTTTTTGTAATGCAATTTAAAGTATCCCTTTTGGGTTGATTTCAATCTATAGTGGTGTAGCTTATTCCAGTTTACATAAGCTGGGCTGTTATAACTGTATCTTATGCCATGGCAGAAATAGCTAAGTTTGGTAGGACACTAGCATAGTCCAAGCACTATTTTAATGGTACACTCCATTTACCAAGCAAGTGGATATCTTTTGGTTCTAATTAACATTTAAATTTTAAGTGTAGTCCTATGACAGAGCTTTAAAAATACATTTGTAAATGTATTTTTATATGGTAATGTTTTTTATATGGTTTCCCTAAACTAGTAATTCTCAGCTAGGTTTTTGTGGCACCCTGGGCTGTCTTGAGATCCTTTCAGGGGTGCTGCCAGGGTACCGCTCAGTATCAGCAGAAGGTTGTTAATATAACCAATATATTGAAATAATTCCACTCTGTAGGGTTCTGTTCTGTGTTCTTAGTTCAAAAACAAAAGTCTGCAAAGCCTGATGAACTTTCAAAGAGGTGCTTTCAAATATTATAAATCCAGGAAGAGGTTCTAACTGGATAACATTTTGCTGACTTTTGAAAGTATGATTCTAAAGATGTTTATAATGAGAAAAATACCTGTTCAGATGTGGTGTTGAGATCTTTCAATGTTTCATGTAGGCTGATTCCATCAAAAATGGTGTCCAGCTCCTCTCTAGAGCTTACACAATTGATCCCAGTAACCCAATGGTGTTGAACCACTTAGCTAATCACTTCTTCTTCAAAAAGGTAAGGGTGTTACAGAATATTTATGGAAGATTTCATAACCTCTTAAACAGCAACTGTTCTGCTGTCACGAATACATTCCCATTTCTGCCTTGTATCATTACTTAATATTGTATAATTACTTAATATTTACTTCACCTGCATTTTGTAAGGTATTAAAGTACACATGTTAAAAAAAATCATATTTTAAATATCCTTTGACTTGGGAAAGGTCCAAAGTTGCGAAGAATAAACTTGTTATTGTAGACAGGCAGGCATGAAGTTTTTAACTTTCAAGTCCCTTGTTAGTTTTTTCTCAAGAAAGCCACAAAAATGAGTTGCTTCTTTAAATTAAACACAACCCATGTTCCTAAAGGCAGTTGGCTATTGCCTGTTTTTAAAACTGGCATAGTGAAAAGAATAGTAAACTCCTAAAATGAAATATGTTGTTTTTAACATAGCAAAAGTTACTTTTTAACTTGTCTGTCCTTTTTGTTTCTGGGAAACTTAAACTTCTACATAAATGGGAATTGATTTCCTCCCCTATCCCTCCAAACTGAGTCTTATTTTCCTTATTCAGGATTACGGAAAGGTACAACACTTGGCTCTTCATGCTTTCCATAATACAGAAGTTGAAGCTATGCAGGCAGAGAGTTGCTACCAGCTGGCTAGATCTTTTCATGTACAGGTATGATAACTTTTAAAAGTCCTCTTCTATGTTACATTTTAGAATTTTTGATATTCAATGAATTCAAATAATTTAAATACAAAATACAGTAATCCCTGTGCTTTTTCTCTTTTAATTAGGAAGATTATGACCAGGCTTTCCAATATTACTACCAAGCCACACAATTTGCCTCCTCTTCTTTTGTATTACCATTTTTTGGTTTGGGTCAAATGTACATTTATCGGGGAGACAAGGAGAATGCATCACAGTGCTTTGAAAAAGTTTTGAAAGCCTATCCAAACAATTATGAGACTATGAAAATCCTTGGATCGCTGTATGCAGCTTCTGAAGACCAGGAAAAAAGAGATATTGCAAAGGTACAGCCAGACTTGGATGATGAATTTTTGTTCTGAGTCCTGTCTGTTGGTCTGATGATCTTGAATGTACATTGGTTCCCCAGATCTGTTTTTGTATCCAAGAGCAGAAATTGAGCCTTAAAATCTAAGTTGTAATGTCCCAAAAAATCAGGGTTACTTTACTGTAAACATGGAGCTCAGTGTATGTTTCTGGTGAATTTTTATCTTTATTGACAGATACCATAAACTGCAGAGAAGGTAGTATCTTCTGAAATAAAAATGAGACTAAGGGGCTTTTAACTAGAAGCAGCCATTTTAGTTTCTGTTGTCTTTAAAAAAACAAACAAACAAAAAAAACCCAAACATTCCCCGTGTACAAATAATGAAGTCCTCTGGGGGAGCAGGGGAAGAAAATAAAGCATGCCTTATTGAAGTTGTAAATATATTCTTGTCCACCCATTCTGAAAGGACACTGTCAAAATCTTTTCTTGGTATATTTGGTAATAAAGTGCTAAAATAAATCCATATCTAAAACACTATCTTACCAACTCCAGTGGTTATACCCTCAGTGTTGTGTGCCTTTTGTATGCTGTCCCCTGTATCAGTGTAGCAGTGTCTATGCAGTGGATTAGTTGGGATGGGCTTTGGCAGTGTCTACTAACTTGCTCTGCATCCTGTGGATGCAGCTATACTACTGCTGATTTAGTCAGGAGCATGTATAGAGCTACATGGTATGTTTCAGGGTACTGCAGCTGGACGTATAAATTTCTTTTCTGGCCAGCTTTGTCCAGTTATTGTTGGACCATTAGACCTTCATGGTTTAGAGAAAAGAGAGAGATACTTGAAAAGATAACTCTTACGGTGTTTATTTTCACACTTTGTATGTTTAATATATTAATTGCGTAAATGTTCGGTGTTTTCAGGGTCACTTGAAGAAGGTTACAGAACAGTATCCAGATGATGTGGAAGCATGGATTGAACTAGCACAGATTCTAGAGCAGACTGATATACAGGTATTGCATTCTGTAAAATGTACACTTTATGCAATGCTCCCTTTTTATGTGTGCTGCAAACATGCTTAGAATTCATCCTACTACTTTTTTTCCCTTCATTTTTTTCCCTCCTTTTCTATTTTACAATCACACAGGGGGCTCTTTCAGCCTACGGAACAGCAACTCGCATACTTCAAGAGAAAGTGCAGGCAGATGTACCGCCAGAGATTTTGAATAATGTTGGTGCTCTCCACTTTAGACTTGGAAACCTAGGTGAAGCAAAGGTACCAAACTAAATTGCTACCATTCAAATTAAGGTGCTAGTTTGTTTTGTGATTATTCAGGAATTTTTTTTAAAAATTGTTCTGTTTTACTATTTTCTTACATTTAGAAATATTTTTTGGCATCACTGGATCGTGCTAAGGCAGAAGCTGAACATGATGAACATTACTACAATGCTATTTCAGTGACCACATCCTATAACCTTGCTAGACTATATGAGGCAATGTGTGAATTCCATGAAGCAGAAAAGTTGTATAAAAACATTTTAAGAGAACATCCTAATTATGTTGACTGTAAGTGTTTTTAATTAGTTCAACAATCCTCCATAGTTTTAAGATAAGTATTTTTGAAGTTTTTTTATCAATGTATATAACTTGGCTTATATAAATGGTAAATCAAAGATGTCCTTTGTTCTTTGAGTTTCATTTTAGTTCTCTCTGAAGCTCATGGGAGAAACTGGACTATTTAATTAATTTTTGTAAAAGCTGTAATTTCCATGTAGCACAAAGCTTGCCAATTGAAAAATTATTTGGTGTAAACAAGAAGTTGCATGCATATAATGTGTCCATATAAATGTTAGACTATTTTTGGGTGCTTGCCATCCTAAACATCTCAAGAAAAAGGCAAAGTCTATGGATTTATACAAGCCCTATTATTTAAACTGCTGTTTTAAAGTATTTTCTGTTTTTAGGTTACTTGCGATTGGGAGCTATGGCTAGAGACAAAGGAAACTTTTATGAAGCTTCTGATTGGTTTAAAGAAGCACTGCAGATAAATCAGGTTAGTGTTTAAACATCTTGATGTAGAACTAAAATTTGAAGCTAATAGTCCAGTAAACTTGTTTTTCAGCTTAACATATGCAAGGTGTCTGAAATAATCTCTTGCATTTGTTCACTACTTTTATTCCTTTATATAGAAAAGTAACTTGTAGATAACATGTATGTACTAGTAGTAATTAACATGTGTATATTTTCTGTGTAATACAGTAAGTGAAATCAGTCCGTAGGTTACTTTTTTATACTGATTTTTGTTTCAGGACCATCCAGATGCTTGGTCATTGATTGGGAATCTTCACTTGGCTAAACAAGAGTGGGGTCCAGGACAGAAGAAATTCGAGAGGATATTGAAGCAGCCATCTACACAGAATGATACTTATTCCATGTTGGCTCTTGGTAATGTCTGGTTGCAAACTCTACATCAGCCCACCAGGGATAGAGAGAAGGTAACTGCTTCTTTGCATGCTGTCAGACATACAATCCCCTTCTGTAACTCATGGTACTTTACATAAAGTGCCATGACTTAGAGCCCCCCCACCCCGACCCAATAGACATGTGCCTGTTGGGTCGGGGTGGGAATTGAACCTGCTGGCAGAAAAGCACCCAGGCAAGGTGCCAACTCTCTCCCCAGTGAAGAAGCTGCCCCTCTCTTCGGCCATGCCCCTCCCCATCTCTGGGGCTGTCAGCAGGAAGGGATGGGGAAGCCAGCAGCAGCGAGCTGCTTACTGGGTTTGTCCAGCCTGAGCTTGTGGGGGAGGTGGGTCACAAGGCAGGGGGCTCTAACTTCCCACTCCCTCACTCCCCCTCCAGCTTAGGCTAGGCAAACCCTAGCAGGCAGCTGGAACCCTACTGGCTTCCCCATCCTCCCTCACTACTTGCTGACAGCCCCGATCATGCAACAAATTAATCCTAGAGAACAAAAGGGCCCTAAGGTGCTCTAAAGTAGAGTGCCTTCATCTGATACCTCATTTGAGGAGGGTTAATTTTTCTCACGATCAGCCACTTAAAAAGTGCTCTGCAGCCATGCGCATGTGTCACAGCACGGCTATAGAGTGCTTTCAGGGGGCTGATCGTGTGTAATTTCTGTCTGCACCTTATAAAATGCATCTTGTATTGTATATCTGGCAGGCTTCATAGTAAAACACAGGCACTCCTTCTGAGGTTTCAGTAAAGGATTGTTTTGTTTTCTTATTCCTTTTTTTAACAGGAAAAGCGGCATCAAGATCGTGCACTAGCAATCTACAAGCAAGTACTCAGAAATGATCCAAAGAATTTGTATGCTGCTAATGGCATAGGTGATTTATTAGATTTGAATTTTATTTAGTAGTTTAGTAGTGATGATTTTTGGATTTCTTATTTCTGGTATATAAACTGCAGAATGCTTAAGTATTAATCCTTAACTTGTCCTTTTTTCTTGCCCTTTGGGTTGGGGGCTGGACCCAGTGATCTTGTGAGGTCCCTTCCAGCCCTAATGTCTGTGAAATCTATGAAATCTTGTTTTATGCAGAGCCTGTTCATTTACTATCTTAGGGACAATATATTGTGGACAGCAGCTGTCTCACAGCTCTTAATTATCTGTTTAGTATTCTATAACTTTAGTGGTAGTACATAGTACAAAAGCCTGGAAGCTTACAATGTACATTTCACTTTTCTTTTAGGAGCTGTATTGGCGCACAAAGGATATTTCCGTGAGGCTCGTGATGTCTTTGCCCAAGTGAGAGAGGCAACAGCAGATATCAGCGATGTGTGGCTAAATCTGGCACACATCTACGTAGAACAGAAACAATACATCAGTGCTGTGCAGATGGTAACCTCTATAAATTGAACCATGGATTAGGTAGCAAAGAAATATATCTAGAACATAACATTGGTAGTTTCTGGGGATTTGGATAGCTTTTTATAACAAATAAAAGATCTACTTGTAAAATCTTATTAACTATCAAATTAAGTCTTGATGCCGGTTGTGGACATGAACACCAGGGCATCTGTCAGCTTAAAATTTTCTCTTCTGTGCCATCCTCAGCAGAGTGTGAATTGGATTATAGAAATTTGGTCTGATGAAGCTTCTTTTATCTTGTATTATTTAGCCAAATAACATTAATTTTCTATATTATCTCAAAACATTATTGAAGTAAATTAGTAGTTTTCTGTAACTTCTTCATAACAGAGTTTCCTGCTTAGGAATTAGCTACTGAATTTCATGGTAGTTCTGAGTACTACATGTATGTTTTTGGAACTTCATGCCCTCTTGACACACACATGATCTTAGCAGTACGGTTGGACTGATCCATGACTTAAGACACCTACTTAAATAATTCAGAGACCAGTTGCCTTCTGCATGCTGGCAACCAGGTCAAGCTGTGTTCTCTATGCATGAGATGGCTTCCTTAGCAGCATCCATCTGCTAGAAATCACTAGTATGTATAACAAGCTAGAGAGATGCTTTAAACCAGTGATTCTCAACCAGGTGCCGAAGAGCCTCTTAGGGGTATCACTTGATACCATCCAGCATTAACACTGTTAGGGATGTAAACACCTGTATGTGATTCACAAGACAAACGCAGAGATTTCAAATAGGAATCCATAGTGTCAAAAACACTTTGACCTGTTGTGGTCTTTCTGAGTTCTTTTGAACAGAAGAATAGGTCAATTTTTTTTTTTCCTACAGTCAAAAAAAGAAACCAAAACTAAGAGCTGGCACTTTTGGAGGGGTGGCTTGAGTCTAGCGAGGTTGTAAACTGTTGCTCTAAACAAACTCTTATTATGTGAAAATTGAGCCCAAGCTAAATTTATATATACTTGGTTCACTTAATAAACACATCAGAGAGGTTCAGGATAGCCTTATAAGAATATCTGTGGGGGGGTTTCAATACAGTTTAAAAAAAAAACAACCCTGATGAGATTAGATCTACCAGTAGTTACTATAACATGAATCACTTGTTGTGTGTGAATGCATCTGGCACTCCTTTTAGGTAAAGCCAATACCCTGCTGTTGATACGTTACTCTAACAGTTCTGCCAATGGGTTCTTTATGGACATTGGAACTTCAGTGACAAATTAAGTCGCTTCTTTCTGACTTACATGCAGAAAAAACATTAATATTGACCATCATAGCAAACAGTAAGATTGACCATTGTAGCATTGAGTGTCTTCTTTGTAGAACAATAGACAATCAAAAGCTACATTCAAGAAAGTGGAAAGGTTTATTTTCACTTCCTGGGCTCAACAATAGTCAATTCCACTCTGACTCAAAGCATTAAGCAAATACCATTATTGCGTTAAAAGAGAAGTGTAATTCCATTTTAACAATCTAGACCACTGTAGCTACGAATCATTATATACAATAGTATTAGCATATTTTTTTTTGCATTGAAATATGTAAAGATCCACTTGCCAAATACAGTATTCTTGACCATTAAAGACAATAAAAATTGGGGGACCAAGCACAGTTGACACCTAGTGAGTGGTGATGGTAGCTAGTGTGTTGGAATGTGACAGCTGCACTTTATATTTCAACAATAGAGAGAATGTTGGTGTCTTGCTCCCTCACCTTTCACATGATTGGAAATAATGGAAGTTTATCTCTGTCTTCTGTAACTAACGATGCATGGGTTCCCTTGATATTTAGCTAAGTTTTGTAGGACTCCTACCAGCTTTCACAAGAATTGGGAACTCCGTATATTAGAAAAGGTTTCAGATTCATTAGAAGAAAGCAAGCACCACAGAGTGACCCAACAGGGTTAGACTAGTTTTTAAATAAAATATCTTTGTAAATGAGTTTTTATGAATAGTACCTGAGGTATGTAGAATTAGGTATGGAAGTTTTTACACTAGTTTAAAGAACTAGTCACTATTTTTCATAATTCATTTCCTCCTTTTCAGTATGAAAACTGCCTCAGAAAGTTCTATAAGCATCAGAATACTGAGGTATTGTTGTACTTGGCCCGAGCACTCTTCAAATGTGGCAAGTTACAAGAATGCAAACAGACCTTGCTGAAGGTAAAAACATTTAAATATAGTTCTTTGTAAAAATAAATAAATAAATAAAAAATTAAAAAAAAAAAAAAAAGAGACTGTTTATTGCATGTTTTTTATATGTCATAATATTGATAAAGTAAGCTTGTATATCTTTTTAAATATAACAGGTTGAAATAATTATGTTTATAAGCCATGTGACACTGATAATTTGGGGCTATGTTAAAACAGCAAAACAAAATGTGCATTTCTTTCACAGGCTAGACACGTAGCACCTAGTGATACTGTCCTCATGTTTAACGTGGCCCTAGTGCTGCAGAGACTAGCCACTTCTGTCCTCAAAGATGAAAAAAGTAACTTGAAAGAGGTACTAAATGCTGTGAAGGAGCTGGAGCTAGCCCACAGGTAAAGTTTGATTTGTGGATAACAGTACAGTTAGTCAAAGGCGAGGAGTAAAGAAAACAATCAGTTTACATCCCAAATTTTAACTTTGACATCAGTGAACTTGGGTTATATAAAAATTGTACATGTTCCATGTTGTTTGTGAAAAAACATGAGTTACAGAAAGTAGGGGCCTGGAAGGGGAACCTTGTTAGTACTTGCACTGGATCTAGTTTTTACTTATTTTAAAGCCACTTGTTCTGATGGAGTACTAAGAGAGTCCCCAGGGAAGTCATTTTATATGTTCTAGGATCTAATATAGCTCCTCCTAGCGGCAAAGAATGTCTAAAGGAGAAAAAAAGGTTCCATCACCAAGATGGTTTTTTCTAATTAAAATATATATATAATATCTCTGGTTTAAAACGCTTACCTAAACAAAGTGTTAAAATAAATGTAAAAATTCACCTGGCTTGATTTTTGGTACAAACATTTCCAGTTATATTACTCATTAGCTAAAATTATTTTTATTAACAATTATTTCAAAATTCTAGTACATGTCATAATACAAAATAGTCAGTGCAAACTGACTTTCCATTTATAAATTGTGTTAGAAATCTTTAATTTCTCCTGGTGAAAATGTGCAAATAAAAAAGGGTGTTTTACTTTCCACTCAGAGAAAATTCAAACTTCCAATGCACAATTTGCTGACAGAAATTTATTAGATAAACTTGAGAGTGGAATATAAATCATATGTGAAAAACTTTGTCCTTTCTCATTTGCTGTAGAACATTAGCTCAATCCAGCATGGGAAAAAGCTTCTATAATAGCAAAAGTGTTTTGATTATTTAACTTCAAAAGAGAACCTGTCTCTTCTCTTGTGTGGATTACTTCTAATTCTGAGAGGAGGTTGGTACTTATTGTCTCTGTTACATGCCATTCAGAAGTTTCAGCATCTGAATATTTTGGGGTCCATCCCAGTTTACCTGTCTGTGCAGTTACTGCACCTTCTGAGGTGTGTGTTTCTGCCAGGAGTATGTAAACTGGGATGGAGGAGATCGCTGTCAAAGAAAAATTGTTTTCTATATCGTCTTCTGCTTATTGCACATTCAGTTGTTATTTACTTTAGGTTGTGACAAATGGAACACAGATAGTCTGACAAGTGCAGCAATATACTTACTGATGCACCAGCTCCTTCCTGTTGGTGTTGAAAACTTCGATTGATGATGATGATGATGTCAGCCAAGACTGCAAACAGCAGGCAGCAGGACTGGATTAAGCAAGGCCAGCAGAAACAGATGCTGAGAATATGAGATTATCCTAGGCAAAACTGACTTGTTATAAGGTGGAGGCAGTCTTGAAAGTCCTTTTTGCAATAGAGCTCTGCTTCTGAACTCTTATTCCCTACTCTATATAAAGGATTCCAGTAAATAGGAACCTTCTGACATTTCTGTTTTCAAAGAACTTGGCCTACTGTAGTACAGAATCAAAGGCAGTGTTTGGACTTGGACTCTAAGATGACTTTTAAAACTTTTCAACTAACTGGAAATTCTAAGCTTTAACTACTAGACAAACTGAGCTATGTCTCCTTTGTGTGGGAATGGAACAAAGAAAACTATGCTACAAAGATGCAATCTCTTTTCGCAATAGCTAGGCGTGTTTAACATGAGTTAATCATGGGCAAATTTCTGCCTACCCAATAGTTTCAATTGAATGAATGTTTTATTCCTAACTAGTACTGAACAAGCACAGTTGTTTAACAGGGTTAGCAACATCATATGATTGCCATATTCCATATAGGACATTATTTATAATGCATAATTCAGTCATTATGCAAAGTGTATAAACATTTTGGAATCCTTGTGAATTAAAAGTGAAAAAGTGCACTATCATAATAACATCTTTAGGATGTTTTAATGAAGAAAACCAGCCTTTCAATATACAAGCATTCATTGGTACTAAAAGATCCAAGCACAGTATTCGGATATAGAAGTCCGTTTTCCTTCTTGTTGTAAGAGAATTTTGTAGTGACACACTGTGTATTTGACTACTTGAGTTTCTTATTAAAAGAAAAGTATAAATGTATATGCAGTATTTTAATGTTTTTTGTTTTCCCCCACCAGATATTTCAGTTATTTAAGTAAAGTAGGAGATAAAATGAGATTTGATTTGGCACTTGCTGCTACTGAAGCAAGGTAAAAATCATTCCTTCATTCTGATTATAACTCTGTCTTTTTCTTCTTGGAGCTGAACTCAGTTATCCAATATTTAATTCTTTTTTTAGTTGCTCATAACTTTCAAAACCTTTTTTTAGGCTTCATTTTTACATTCAGGTGAAATGTATACATTTGCAAGATTGAACAAAAACATTGAGCTACTTTTTTTTAATTACAACAATTTTCTTTTTAAAAGATATTTTTTGACTTAGACCTCCTACCATTCTCCTTCCCCCGCTACTTCAGTGTCAATGCTGACATTTTGCAGCTAACCTGCAAAATCACTGAGAAGTGGTTTGATAGTTCAGGTGAAATTGGGGTGAGCTGAAGGGTTCTTACAGTCTGAAAATCAGTTAAAACAATCAAATTTCTCTGTGCAAGTTTCTTAGCTGATTTACCAAGGCTTGAAGGAATTACAAAACTGTTCACATGGGCCTTTCTAACTTTATGCGTATGACATCTGTTTCTTAAGATACACATTAAAAGAAAAACTCTGCTTTGTTCATTATATAGTTTATAAACTAAAGATTTATCAGGCTCTTGCATGTGTACCCAACAGAAGATGTTAAATGTGCATATCTAAGATTCTGGGCAGAAAAAAAATGCATTGAGAAAACCACTCATTATTTGGTTTCATGTGTAACAACACCATGAGCACCAGCTCACAGGGGTTGGACCAAGATAGCTCAAAGCATCCTTACTTTTGAGCATTTAACTGTACAACCTTAAATTTTTTTTTTTTTTTTTTTGGATAGAAAATCTTTATTTCTGATGATACTTAATTCTGGTTACTTATAAGACACTTTTTATGTTGTTGTTGTTGAGTCCTTGTAGAGCTACTCAAGTGAGTTAGAAATATTTCCCCTTTAGGTTTTAAGGATTTATTTTTTTGCTCTAATTTTTTTAACAAACAGCTGCTTTTGAGTAATGGCATGCATGTAAACTGTACTGAAGCTGTTCTTTAAATTAAAAGGCTTGCTCAGTAATTTAAGATTCATACTACTTAAGAATTATTTTCTAAAGTCTAATGTAAAATTATTCTAGAATTCAAATAGTTTTTGTTCAGTGGCATGGACAGTTAGTATTGCAATAAGCTGTGTCTTCTCTGAAGATGTCTGTCAACTTTTAATTAACTGAAAACATTGGATGTTACAGGCAGTGCTCTGACTTACTGAGTCAAGCTCAGTATCATGTGGCTCGGGCACGCAAGCAGGATGAAGAAGAGAGAGAGCTACGTGCCAAACAAGAACAAGAAAAAGAACTACTCCGCCAAAAACTACTTAAAGAACAGGTTTGTTGTTCCTTGTGATCCTTTGTATCTCTTTTGTTTTGTTTGTTCTAATGTGTATATTTGCCCCTTTTGCTCTGTGGTGATAGCTGGAAAATGTTTTTGAGAAGGTAATACTAGAAATGAAAAATTGCATATACCTAAATGCTTACATTAAAAGGTAAGGGTGGGTAAAGAGTAAAATTCAACTTTCCTGGTTCAAAACCTAAATAAACAGACATTGTATAGGGTAGTGTTTCTCAGCCTATGGGTCACAAGCCAAAAGTGGATCACAAGAATATTTGAAAGGGTCATGAGCAAGTCCCAAAAAAATGTGGGAAAGCATGGGTTTCCCTTTGCAGGCTGGCAGCATTCCAGCCTGCAAAGAGCTGCTTGGGGCAGTTGGAGGCAGCGGGTGCACTTGTGTCCGTGTGCACAAACATGTGGCCCACATATGGCCAGGTAGGGTTGTAAGAGCAGCCCTGGCAGCTGGATGCAGATAAGTGTATAGTGAGTAGTGGAATGGAGGTCCAGGGCTTAGGGATTGTCTCGGGGGGGGGGGGGGGGGGAGGGGGTGTGTGGGGGTGGGG